TTTTTTTTTTTTTTTTTTTTTTTTTTCCAGCAGTGGAAAGTAGGATTTCCACCGAACTGCCCATGAATTTGCCCCTTTCAAACAGCTGGGGGAGGGGGGGAGGATGAATTCCCTGCAGTCTTAGTCACCTGTGCCAAGAGTGAGAGGAAGAGCCCCGCTTCGTTTCAAACTCGCTATTTTCCTTCCCCCAAAATTAGACTGAAAAAGGAAATACAGCAAACTTTGTTTCTGTTTGTTTTCCAAATGAACCCTCAAAAGGAGGGAATGAATGGCAGAGAAAGAGAAATTACACCAAAATGATCAAATAGCATTTTTTTCTCCCCAAAGAAAATAAATATCTTCAAAAAAAATAAATAAGTAAATAAACCTTTTTCCTTCCCACCCCTCCCACCCTTTATAGCAATTGGGAATTGCTGCTTCTCAACCCTGAGCCCTCCACAGCCCCTGCGAGCCCTGCTTTGTGGTCTATTAGACACTGGAAGACTGAATAATATTTCACAAAAGCCATTATGAGCCTCTGAGCACAGATAACCCGTTTTCGAGTCTCGCCACCGAACCAGCCGTGGAAGCATATTTTAAATAATCCTGTGGCAATAAGTGGCAGCACAAGATGCCCTTTGTTATAGCGGCTGGGTCCTCACAGGGCACTTTCATGGCTCCCCAGTATACATTTCCCACAGTTCTGATGTCTTTTCACGTGAACTGGGAAGAGCCATGCTACCGCAACAGTGCCTGTAACAAAATACTGCCAACTCAGGGCTTTACATGGAAAGGAAAACTTGAACTTCCCCAAAGTTGACTGCCAAACAGGATTGCACTAAATAGCAGAAATAGAGCAAATCGAAGAGCACGACGCCAGCGCCAGTAATCCCCCCAGGACGGTGCACGGAGCATCACTCCGACACAGGGGGTGAGCATCCATCGGCAAAGGCAACGCGGCCACTTTGGGATCCGGATTTAAATATTCCCTATTGAAAAAATACACCAGGCTGTGCATGGGGAAAGACTAGGCTCCCTCCGTGTCCCTGGGCAGCCCTGCCGGGCTTCCTGAGCCTTTTGGAAACTTTAAAAAAAAGGCACCTGAGGAAAAGACGCCAGCTGGAGCCAGGCTTCCCTGCCTCCAGCCCACCTGCACCAGCAGGTAGAGATCAGAGAGGGATCAGCAGCACCCTGGCACTGCAGGGACCGGTTGAATTCAACCAGGAGAGAGCTCCTGAGTGACGTGTCATTGATTTTACAGTCCGCAACGGTTCTGAAGACTGCTCTCGTTTGTTCACCTTGGCTAAGCAGACTCACAACTTCCCAGAACTGACTTCTGGGGGGAAGGGAGACTTGGTGCCAGAAGCACATCTGCCAAGAAAAACAGAATCGTAAAATCTAATGCCTATATCTATTGGGTTGACATCCGCTCTTAGCTCCAAGCAGGGCTTCAAAATTGAACCCCCCCCCCCCCAAAAAAAACAGTGCCTGCAAGAAATTAAATAAAGAGCCACTGCTATCTTCCCCCCTTTTTCAATATAAGGGTCCTTGGTCGCGGCAGTCGCTTTCTTCTTTTTTTTTTTTTTTTAAGAAATTAGGATTTGTTGCAAAATGATATCGCCAAAATCGAGTCTTTTTTTTTTTTCTGCAGCGGTTTCTTTGCCTAATAAAAGCACCCATTTCCTGCCATGGACTCACGGCAAGCGAAGCACACTGGCAGGGCTCACCCAATAATTAGTCCTAATAAGCACCCGGCCTGTGCGCTCCTCTGCACCCCTATGCCGTGTGCACCCACACCGCCGCTGCCACTCCCAGGTTTACAAGGGGATGAGCTAATTGACACCATTCATTAGGGAGGAATGTTTCCTTTGCAACAAGTCGGCGAGGAAAGAGAGAGAAAAAGAAGGAGCCCCCCCAAGAGAGGCTGGGGAATGAATGCAACCTGCTCCCACCTCCCAGGCTGGGGCTGCCTGGTGTCTGCCCGGCTGAAAAGTTGCTGGGAACTTTTCCCCTAAAATCATCCCCCTCTTGGGCTGGTGAGCGCCGCGAGAGGGGCCGCGGGATCCCGGGGGGGTGGGAAGGGGCCTCCGCGCCGGCTTACCTGGGGTTGCTCTTGTTCCAGTACACGGCGTAGCGATCCGAGATAACTTTCCCCGTCTCGTCCGTCCAGACGCAAACCCCGACCAGGGCGACCAGCAGCGCGGCCACCTCCAAATGCACCATCGTATTCGCTCGTCCGTCCGGCGTCCGCCCCCCCGCGCCCTCCCCGGCCTCACGGCTTCATGGGCTCCCGCTGCTCCGGAGCAAACCCGGCTTCATCCTGGCGCGGCGGCGGCGGGCGCCGTCCTCCTCCTCCTCCTCCTCCT